CCCCAAAACCCCAAAACCCCAAAACCCCAAACATCAACTGAGCTTGAGAAGGTATAAATCATGATCAAAACTAAAGGATTATTAATTAAGATGGACTCCAAAGTTAAGAAATGTCAGCATGGGGCTTGTCGAGCCCCTGCTCAGGCGTACTTGAATGCTAAAGGGATTTATGTATGTGGCAAAGATATGGCCGAGCATTATTACGATGACGAATCTACTCATCTAGTCACTCCAAAACAAATAAATAACCTGATTAAAGCTATCATGATTCTTTCTAAGGAGATGCTTGTATTTTCACAAAGAATAGACCAAGTTGAATATGCCGAAAAATACGCTAATCTTGCGCATTTTGTTGAGGACTCTGTCAGTCACATTGCTAAGAAACTTGAAGTCTTTACTAGGAAAGGAAAGCTCTACAAATTGCCGTCTTTACTGCAAGATGCAAAGAATCTAAAAGAGCAAATTGTCAGCGATGAGTTATACCTGAAGTTCTGTGTTCCAAGCCATTGGGAACATATAACTAAAATCAGTGAAGGTGTTGCTGACAAGAGCCAGGAACTGACAGTTAAAGAGCTAACTGAGAAGTATGACTACTTGGTTTCAATTACCTCAGCTGCTTTGCGAAAACAAAGGGATGAAAAGACCAAACAAACCAACCAAGAGATTGCCAAATACAAACGCCAAGCGCAAGATATAAGCATTTAGAATGGAGCATAAAATCAAGGAGCTTACAGAGGAATTTTCTAACAAAGAAGAGCTTCTTAAAGAGAAGATCCTAAACAATAAAACTTCAAGTGAGTCCCACAATAAGACAAAAGAAAAGTCCTTATCCCAAGAAATCGATAAGTGAAAGATCACCTGTGAAGAAAAATTACTTAACCAAGAAATCGAATTTAGCCAAGAAATGAAAAGGAAGGAAGACTTGTTTAAAAAGAAGCTTAATGATAGAGAGAAGTCATGGAAACTTAAACTGGATCTTCAAGAACAGGAAATACTAAAAGAGAGACATGAGAAAACAGAGCTTGTCAAAAAATTCTCAGGTAGAAAGAGCCAATCAGAAATTGTTGAAGAGCTAGAAAATCTCCATCAAAAAGAACAAGTAAAACTTCAGCAAGAGAACGAAGATCTCGAAGAACAAAATCTAAGGAAAGATACGATGATCGAAGAACTTATGAGAGAGATTAGATGCAATAAAGAAGATTTAGCTGCAATGAATGAAGATCTTAGTCAAGCCAAAAAGGATCTACAAATTCGTGTGGGAAGATACACAATCAAAAGCTTCAGTAAAGTTTGTGCTAGAATTAACAAGGAGATGGAGGGACCCTTAAGCCCGAAGAAAATAGTTTTTACTCAACACACTGATAAGATGTGTCTGACTCCTTCAAAGGAAATTCACTATAAGTTATTTAAAGAAATAAATATGATCTTGCCTGATCTAAAGGTACTTGAGCTCCATAAAGTGCCTGAAGAATGTAAAGATCTTGTCAAAGGATTCCTCCATTTTAATTTCCCTGATAGGGTTGACAGATTTGTTTTTAAGCCTACATCTGAATGTATCCCTCTAGATGAATACATTAAAAAAATCCTATTGGTCAGCCCCAGAGTGAAGAAAGAGTTAGTTTTGCATAACTTTGAGATAAGTCAGGATTTACTAATTTCCCTTCTTTCAAAAAATAAGAAAAAGAAAATAATAAGACTTATTAACTGAGAGATCGATCTTTCAAAGGTGGTCGATTTCAAAGATACACTGAAAGGAGCAACTATAAAGTGAATCGATTTGGAAGGATGTGGAAGATTATGTCTCGGCAACTGGGGATCTTTCCCAACCAGATTCAAATACCTTATAAGTAATTTACTCAAACTTCAGCATTTGAAAGTTAAATTCTGCTCTCTAATTTTATTTATAGAAAGTCTTGGAGAATGAAAAGACTTGAAGAGAAGCTTATTAAACCTAGATCTGAACGAATGTGGTCTTTCTGATGAAGATATAAGTACTATCTTGGACAAATACGGATTTGGTTCAGTCAAATTTGCATCAGATTACAAAGCATGGAATGCTCATCGTACTCCTTAAAGGATCAAATTACTTATAATTCTTTTTGCAGAAGTTATCTAAACTTGTGTCACTCATATATCTTTTAACTTTTTCTATAATCAATGTTTCCTGAGCATGCTTAGGTATCCATAATATTTTCTTTTCATACAGCTTCTGTTTTCCATGCTGCTTCTATCAAGTTATATTGACCTTTATCCTGACTTCTACTTAAGTTTCGAAGGGCTTCCACAGGCTTTCTTTCTTGGCCATGCTTGTTAGCGTTGGAGGTGGCCACCTCAAAACACCTTGCTGTGAAGAAGTCTTGTGAAAGAGGGTGGAGAAGAAGGAGTCATTTGAGAGATAGAAGGAAATCCTTTAAAATAGCATGGATTTGTAAGGTTCAAGAGGATTTAGGAAAGAAGGGGTTTTGGGGTTTTGGGGTTTTGGGG